GAGGGGGCCCGTGATTGGCTGTGGAGTAGATTGACTGAAGCGCCGATCGCCAAAGCCACCACGCCCCCCACTTATTAGCGCTGTTATTTAGTTGAGCTTTCCCGTAAATTCCATGCATTACCAGATTGAAACGTAAAGTCTGAATTTGGTTTACCAATCAAATGCATTTATTATATATTTGACTTTTGAATTATTTTAGCTGAAGTATTTGTATAAATACCTTGTGCTTTTTACCCCATGCTGGTGAGCCTTTTACCCCGTGTGTGGGGTAAAAGGCCCCTCTTGCCACCTCATACTTTTATACGATTTTTAAACAAAATAAACAACTTGAATGATTTATTTTCACACAAAATCTGTTGATCCTTTAATGTTCAATGCAACGTATATATTTTTTCTGCAATTATACATTTTAGGCGAAGTGAATGGTGTAGCTTCCTGGCTTAAAAAATGTTGGACTCTTCAACTGATGACTCATAATGAGCTTTATTAAAGATCTGTCACCGTAGATTTGTAGTAATCACCGTTAAATGCCATAAGACATCACGAATCACCGTAAGAGCTTTGTATAAAGAAAACAAACACAAAACATAATATAAATAAACCTTAAAACAAACATACAAATACAACAACGATTTAACACCCCTAACATCATACAAACAAATAACCATTGCTACATTAAAAGAAATCCAAACAATACAGATATCAAAGTCAATATTTTACCTTATTCTCCATTTAAACCAGGAGCTAAATCCTTGAAGTTCTCTTTAACCGTAAACCTTTGAATGAATCGACCATGTGCGTCTTAGTTGCGCTCCTTACTAGAATGCTTTAAGCACACCGCAATATCCGCTTACATGGATGAATGTCAAAATAAAAGACTTTGTTACCACAAGACGTATAAACTAATAAAAACCCAAAAATCCAACAATTAAACATGATACACATTCATAATGGACAACGTAATAAATCACTTAAAGAATATCAAAAATTTTTGAAAAATAAATAGTATAAAAGGAAATAACCAAATCCTTAACAAATGGCACATTTTTTCTTAAGGTGGGCCTGGGGGGGCCCTGCAGTAAGTCATAGCCCCAGGGCCCAGTGCGGTCTTAATGCGGCCCTGTCACTAACGTAATAACTTTTTTCTTTTTTAATTGCATAACAAGAACAGTGACATACCATACATATATAGAGGATCACAGTGTATTCAACTATTATCAGTTACATTCATAGCATCAAAGGAACCAACATAAGAAAATAAACTATACAGGCTTACAAGAAATTTCCAAAAGAAAAGGATAAAAAAAAATACTATACATCATTTTTGCTTTTTTATTTCTTAGATCTTTTAAGACCTCAATGTAATGCTTAAGTTCAGTTTTAAATAATGTAATGTTAGGTTTATTTATTATTAGTACATTTTTGTATGGTATTTCCCATACATGATTATTAAATTAATCACCAAATTTTGCTTTACCAGAGAGTTACATCTTTAATTTTGTAAATTTAAATAGTAGATATTCAATATAAATCCAAAACAATTGGGTTAATACACATTCATAAAATAAGTGTTTTATGGATTCTTCTTTTAAGTTACAATAGTGTAGTCTCCAAGTCTCTAAAAAATTATGTGACTACTTGTCTCACTGGGTAAATGAAATGAATGACTTTATATGTAACTTTTTTAACTTTATTGGTGAGACAGTATTTATTAGGTAAACTCCAGACCTCTTTGCCATTGAATCTGATTATATAATGAATTCCAAAAAGGTTTGCATTTAGGCAATAATGTGGTTCTACATATTTTTTATATAAAAGTTATTACATTTATTATCTATAATTTTCACACCATTAATACTTAACTGATTTGTATATAAGAGGATAGACTCAGAAGATATTGCCAGACAAAAGCTGAATAAGGCCACCAGGAATGGCATCAAATACTACTGCAAACTCTTTAGCAGTTACAGGAATATTATAATAATAAGGAATTCACAATAATTAAAGAGATGTCCATTATTCTTGAATAACTGTCTCACCAAGATTATACCATTATTGTACCTCTTTCTTTAAAATAAGTTTTTACTTATTTTTAAACATAATATATTTGTTGTTCCAAATCACTGAGTTATGTGGAGAAAAGTTATGCTTAAAAATGAGCATCCATAAAAAAAGAACCTGTTTATGAAAAGAAGGAAGCTTTATTTATTTATACCTTGTTTACATCAAAATTACACCTCAAAAAAAAAAAGAAAAAAAATTCTAAACCCCCCAACTTATCAAAAATTTACTCAGGGATGATATTCCAAATTTTGCCTTTAGATTTCAGGTATAGTTCTTTATCCATTTGTGTAATTAAATGTTTATTCAGTTTAAGGTTCAAAAAACACATTATTTTCCACATACTGTACATTATTGTTTCTCCTCTATGCCCCGCCTTTCTGAAACGCGTCGATTTTTACAAAGCTCATTGGTCTGAAAAGCGAGGTGTTCTCTGATTGGCCAGCTATCCAGTGCATTATGATTGGCCGAATACCTCAAGCGTGTGACGGAAATGTTACGCCCCTTACCATACTGTGATGCCCTGTCAGACCGGAGCGATGATTCAAAAACATGAAAACCCATTATAAACGAGGCATTTGTTGCATCCAGTGGGGACATAATTATGGATTATAATAACTTATTATACTGTCTTTTTACACGTTGCGTTGTATCGCGCCGTGTAAACATAAAATCATGTCTGCATTTGTGATCGGAGAAATGACAAACAACAAGCGCTACTCTACACTGCTCAAAACTCTCGCTTTAAATATAAAAAATATAAAATATAAAAACTCTTTAAATAGAAAAAACTTACTTACAGTCTTTGAGTCAGAACATCCGGCATTGTAGTCTACTCTACCGGGATCAGGAAACAGTCTATAAAGAATATCTCTTTGGATTTGAGACTTTAGTCTTTGCAACTTTAGATCTTCTTTATGCACCAAGAGCTTGTAACACTCCAAAGAGAAAGGAAAAATTGAAATCGCATCATATGACCCCTTTAAATACACAATTGGCAGTATTAAAGTCAAGTACATTAAGACCACCATCTTCAATTGGATTGTACAAAACTGTCTTTTGTAAATAATTTGGTCTGTTCTTAGATGAAATTGAACAAAAAAGTATCCACCTCTTTTATGACCGATTGTGGAACGCCTAATGCAAGAGCTGTGTACACTAAACGTGACAACCCTTCAGTTTTGGATAATAATATTCTTCCTTTTAGTGACAGATCTCTCATTAAGCATGAATTTAATTTTTGTTTAATTTTCTTAATAACTGGTGTAAAATTAAAATTATTTCTCTCCTTTTGATCTTTACAGATCTTAATACCTAAATAATCTTCCATCTCCTTTACTGGAATACCAAGTATGTTATTATAATTAGATATTTTCAATGGGAATAACACACATTTTTTAATATTTAGACAAAAACCAGATACAGATGAAAAAATATTAAGGCAATCACTGCTTTTTTAAATTTCAGTTAAAAAAATTTTTAAAGGCAGTGTCGTCCACTAACTGAGAACATTTTAACTCTTTCTCCAAAATTCTAATACCACAAAATGTATCTCTTTTAATATGTATGGCCAGAGTTTGCGTTACAAACATGAAAAGAAAAGGTAAAATGGGGCAGCCTATGCCTCTTCTGATTTTAAACCTTGATGTAATTTTTTTTTTTTCAAAAATATTATTGTTATGCACTCCTGTTTATTTCTGCATATTGCCGTTGGTTTTATTTACATTATTTTTTCATTCATTTCTTCCAAATTCTAAAGTTTTTATAATTATTATTTTTATTATTAAAATACATAATATGCAACTACAATCTACAATATGTATTGTTTTAGGTGCATCTTATGTGGCATTTTTCTTTCAAATTTCTGTGGCATTTTGCAAACACTGACCCTTCAAAACAAAACAAAAAAACAAAAAAAAATATTCTAACCTTTGAAAGAACATTGATTTTTAATGTACTGTATTTTATAATGTTTATATGTATATAAGTATCACAACTTTATCACAAAAGTTGTGATAGGAGCAGTTGGCCACATCAAGAAAAATGAATGGATCTCAGTGGCGCTCTACTGAATATATGGTCAAAACACTTTCTTTCTAAAACTGTGATTTATAAAGGCTTTTCTCTAACCAGCAGATGGCTGTTTTCTGTCCCCAACACCTAGATCAATATCAGAAACAGCTTATATTTAAAGTTAGATCATCATTGAAGTGATTTAATTCATGAAAATGTAATATTACATAGGCTATATATTTATATTATATAGGCTATTATAAATGTGTCAACCTTTCATAAATCCTGATTGCTATTCATCAAGACATTTCTTCAATCTTTCTGCAAATATACGTGCAAAAATATTTGCATCATTATTAATTATCAATGTTTGCACTGGACGCCAATTTTCTAAAAAATAATATATCCTTCCTTATTGGGCTTTGTTATTAAAGTTATCAAACATTGTCTTAGTGAATTGGGTAAAAAAAAAACTTTGTCGAACAGCTTCTCTAAATACAGCTAACAAAAAAGGTGATAATTCATTTTGAAAATATTTATAAAATACACTAATTAAACCATCTTGTTCAGACTCTCAGTCCAAATCCGATTTTTGTGCACAGCCTATCCGATTGGAATCCGATCTAGATGACTGAGTTTGTTAATGCAGTGAAAGTACTCCATTTAAAGAAATATCTTGGTAGCACATTTTAATAGAAGATTAATTTATCTTTTGAATATCTTCTTTTATAGATATTCATAGATATATAGATAGATATATAGATATCAAAGAATGACTGTGCATTACCCAATTTGTTATCATCACGTAATTACTACATATTCCAGCAACTCTTACGTAAACGTCAAGAGCGGCTCTGTGATTGGCTGAGGAGAGTGTCAATCAAAGCTCCTTCATCCAATAGACTCGTTACTCGCTCTCAAACTATGGCGGCCATGTTGTATCCGCGGGGGACTGGAGGCTGTTCGGAACCGAGTCTGTCTTCAGTCAGGAGTGTACGGTGGGGCTCTCGGGCTTGAACTCGTCTGGGCTTTACACCATTTGAGATCTACTCTCCTCGCCATGAGCCGTCCGTCCTCTGCGGGTGGTGCGGCCGGAGGACTCGGAGCTGGTAAAGCAGGAGGAAGTAAGCATGGAGGTTCTGGAGGAACAACCGCCTCTGCTGCAGCCGCCGCCGCAGCTGCTGCTGCCGCTGCCGCCGCGGCCGCAGCAGCAGCAGTCGCCGCGGGGGTATCCGGCTCTGTCGCGGGCTCTTGTATGGTACCCGCGGCCGCTGTATCCCTTCCAGCCGCTGCCCTACCGGGACAGTCAGCCGAACTGACAGCGCTGTTTGAGTGCCCGGTGTGTTTCGACTATGTGCTGCCTCCGATCTTGCAGTGCCAGGCTGGGCATCTGGTGTGTAACCAATGTCGGCAAAAGCTCAGCTGTTGTCCAACTTGTCGCGGCCCTCTCACGCCGAGCATAAGGAACTTGGCAATGGAAAAAGTTGCATCTACTCTGCCGTTTCCGTGTAAGGTAAGAACAACTGCCGTCATAACCAATCCAAAGTTGGCTGCAACATTGTTTCATTCAGTTCTGTATGATGGCACATGAGTTTAGGAAGTGTGGTCATATCGTGTAACTAAAGCTCAGATGCCACAGGTGTATGTTGCATCAAGCCAAGATGCAGCAATTCTGTTTCATTCATATTTTTAAGTGTCTTTTTATATTTCCAGTGACACATCCAGCTGTAGTGTGTATATTTTCCGTGTTAAATACTATCCTCTATCACAGCTTAATATTAAGTCATTTGTAGGAAAATTTCGTTGGAAAATCAATACTATATTTTTAAAAACCTGATCATCTCCAGTGTATCTACATTGTCTCAGCCAATGGCATTGTTTTGTGGGCGGGGTTATCAGTTTGTTCAACCAATGGCAGCTATGGAGGTCGACGGGAAGTGCGTTGAAAACCTGTTTGAGAACAATCCTTATTTTTGTAATTCCATTTGGTCACACTAGAGGTGCCGAAATGGCACATTTCAGCTTTAAAATAGGGGCATAGTTTCACAGGCACCCCCATCAAAAAAGCGTCCCCATATTTTAATACTTTTATATTATTATTATTATTAGATTTTTATTTTATTTTTTACAGTTATTGATATAAGTATGTACATTGTCTTAAACTGCAGTAAACAAGTTGCACACGGAATAATATATACAGTGCCTGTCATTGTTAAGACTCTATCCCTCATAGTCTCGTTTTCATCTGGCTGAGGTCTTTATCAATCTAATCAAGTGCTCTTTATCTTGCATCTTATAAAATATCCTGTTACTATTTCTTTGTGAGAAACCACTACAAACGATTCAGTGCATTAGTGAACTGTCCGAATGAATCAAACTAAATCACAAACGTTTTTGCAAAATTTTCTGATCAATTGGCAGTCCCACTATTGAACCACATTTTCTGGTTTTTGCAGACAAAATGACTGATTTATGTGGTGTTGATTTTCAGAATTTTGTGAAAAATTTGCAGTGTCATTTTTTGGTGATATTAGCATATCACATTTACCATATTATTAATGACATTAAATGGCCAATAGTCATACACAACAGAAAAAAACAAAACAAAATGCAGAACGCTTGTTTCTTTTTGGTTTATTTTCTCATACATGTTTCTTTATCACACTATCGTTTCAATAACTTTACGTGGTATTGTGCTTTCTGTTAATAAATGGCGACATTTTGTTGATTTCGCAGAACACAATGCAAAATCAACAAAATGTCACCATTTATTAACTAGGGGAACTGAATTGTATCAAAAGTGATTAATTCACAATTCCAACATTGGTATTTCTGATTCTAAACTGCTGATAGAAAACACATAATGTGATTGCTGAAATATTGTCAGGAAAAATCCAAACAAGGATCAGTCATACTTTACTGGAGCAATTACTGGAAGTGGAAACACGTTTTAATGCTTGGTTTTAAACGTAGGAAGTCTTATTAAAGCCTAATATAACTTGATTGTGATTATTATTTGATAAATCAAATTGCATTAGAAAGATCTATCTAAAGATCTTGACACTGCTGTTACATTAATTTCAGTTTACATTTGTTTTGTTTTTTTACACTTTTTGGGCAGTTTGAGCTAAGTTTTCTTTTTACTGTGACTGACCTGAAACAGTTCCCACTTGATTGCATCATCAGTACATTAAAGTTGTATTCTCTGTTATCACTGGCCTGTGAAAGTTGATCACTACTCTTATTCCCTGGGGTAAAGTTTCCTCCTTTACAGTGGCTGTAATCAGGACGTGGCTGGTACATGATGTAGTGCAGTCTCTAGAGTGATACCAGCCATCAGTAAAGAAAAATAGCCCTCAACGTTTATAGTGAAAGTAAAGCTGGATCCACTGTTGTTTCAGCAAAGGGCTTTGTCAGCTAGTTATTCAATGCTCTGTACTAACAGCATTAAAGTTTATGGGACCTCAGATTTTTGTGGAGGGATGTTGTGAAACGATCATTCTGGGACTGTGCCATATGCTGCACTTAACAGGTGTCATCAGGCATCATATCATACTACTTGTATAATTTAATTTAATCCACTTACAATCTAGTTTTTTGTGACACAATTTTGTCACATTTATTTTATTCCAATTTTCTTTCTTTTATCATTAGAATTAAATAAATGGGCCATTTATTTAAATCTGCTGGTGTTTGCAATGTTTTAGAATTAACAAAAGAGTTAGACACACTTTGTTAATGCTAGATTCTCTATGGATTCTCAGTATTCCCTAAATTATTGTCATTGATATCGTTATCGCAATAAATATCAGAAATTATCATAATATATTTTTAAGCCCATATCGCCCATCCCTAGACAATGGAAGTAATATTTGCTAATTTTTGCTGACCATCTACTTTCATTGTATGAACAAAAAAAGAGACATTTCTCAAAATATCTCCTTTTATGTTTCACAGAATAAATAAAGTCATGACATGAGGGTGAATAAATGATGACAGAATTTCAAAGAATTTTCAAAATAATGGGATAGAAATACTTAATGTTGACTTTGAATATGCAATATTTACTATTTTTAATATGCTTTTTACTGGTTTTATCTTTGCATATTTTATTGGTGCATGTTATTCTAAATGAAAATAAAAGTGTTGGTCTTAATAATATTTAATGAAAACGCTGTGTGTTTCATTATGAAAGCGAAACTACTTTGTTTGGCCTTCCAAAAGAGGACACAACTAGAAATCAGTGGTTAAGTTGTATTTACAACACTGTTCCGGAACAGTTCAACCCAAATATTCAGATGTGTGCTGCGCATTTTATGGAGGACGAGGACTGTTTCCTGGGAGAGAATAGCCTACAATGCCAGTGTCTGTTTCTATAAAGTGGGGCAATTCTAACTTTGCAAGGACAGTCAGGCGCTTCATGACTCACAGCCTGGAAGTACGTTTTTATATTTAAAGGATTTGCCACTGATGATTCAAACGCGAGTTTTGAGCAGTGTAGAGTAGCGCTTGTTGTTTGTCATTTCTCCGATCACAAATGCAGACATGGTTTTATGCTTACGCAGCGCGATACGCAACGTGTAAAAAGACAGTATAAGTCATTATAATCAATAATTATGTCCCCACTGGATGCAACAAATGCCTCGTTTATAATGGGTTTTAATGTTTTTGTCTCGTCGCTGTGGCCTGACAGGGCATCATCACAGTATGGTGAGGGGCGTAACATTTCCGGCTCACGCTTGAGGTATTCGGCCAATCACAACGCACTGAATAACTGGCCAATCACAGCACACCTCGCTTTTCAGAACGATGAGCTTTGTAAAAATCAACGCGTTTCAGAAAAGCGGGGCATAGAGGAGAAACAATAATGTACAGTATGTGGAAAATAATGTGTTTTTTGAACCTTAAACCGCATAAACACATTTCATTACACCAAATACACAAAATAATGTTCCTTTTAGCA